CCTCAGAAAAGATGGTTAAATCAATATTGTTAGAATCTTATAATTATGTTAAACAAACTATAAATCTTAATATTTCAAAAAATTTGGCAAGTTGTTCTCTTATGCTTGATTTATGAACAGCAAAATCTCGACAAGGATATATAGATATTACAGCATCTTATATAGATAATCAGTTTAAATTGCACAAAGTATTACTAGCTATTCCATATCCATATATGGGAGAAAATATTTCAAATGAAATATCTGATATACTTAATGAATAGAATATTAAAGATGAAGTATTTTATATTACAACCGATAATGGTGCAAATGTAAAAAAGGCAATTGCACTATTGTCAAATTATATATGTATACCCTGTACCTCTCATACTTTGCAGCTAGTAATTAGAAAAGGACTTCTTCCTTGTGAAGTTTTAGTAGCTCGTGCACGTCGGCTTTGTAGTTTTTTTACAACACCAAAACAAAGTGAAAAACTGATTCAAGTACAAAAAAGTATGAATTTGTCGAATAATCAGGTATATTGGTTGTATTTATAAATTAAAAAATTATTACAAATTTCAAAATTGTTATTTACTAATAATAATTTTAATTTTTTTTTAAGCTTTTAATAGAAAATGAATGTCTTAGAATTATTAATGATGTATCCACTCGGTGGAATTCAACATACCTTGCATGAATAAGTTTACTTAAAATGCATTATATAATAAATACTATGATTAGTTATTTGGAACTGAAAAATAATCATGATTCAAAGCATGACTGTAGTTATCTTAAAAAGATAAATCTTACTAATGAAGAATGGATAGCTATTGAGCAATTAATTCCTGTTTTACGTCCATTTGCCAATGCTACAGAATTTCTTGGTGGTAGCAATTACTCAACTATTAGCTGTATGTATCATGCAATTTCACTTATTAAGTCAGATCTTGCACATTTAAGTGAAGATTATGTAGAAATGATAGATTTTACATATCTGAGTACAGTATTTGATGAAAATATTGAATATAAAGATGCTGATGAAGATGTTGATATTAATTCTTCTACCTCTCATTGCAAAATTCATATAAATATCTCTCAAAATTGTGTTAATCTTATTTTATGAGTTCGTACTGTACTATATAAAAGTTTTAATCATTATTATTCAGTTCTAACAGAAACTAGGTTAATGGCAACATTATTAGATCCATGAAGCAAATCTTTATTATTTATATCACCATATAATACACAAAAAGCATTTGACAATTTGTATATATTATATAATAACTCAAATACTAATACATCTGCTATGCAGTTTCAAGAAAATTCTAATGATTCACTGCTTGCATGTATGTATCAACATCAATATCAACCAACTAATACTAATGAAGTTACAAAATATCTTGCATATCCGAAGATTTCTTCAAATATTAATCCACTTCAGTGGTGGAAAGATAATGAAAATGAGTTTTCATTTTTAGCCAAATTGGCTAAAAAATATCTTGCAATATCAACCACATCCACTCCTAGTGAAAGGTTATTCTCCAATGCTAGTAACATCATGACTATACGCAAAACAAGTTTGAGCCCAAATGTATTTGAACATCTTTTGTTTCTAAAAAAAAACAATAAGTTGGTTCATAATATATTTCCTAACTAGTATCTGTGAAAGCTAAAGAATATTGCAATAATGGTAATATAATTATTTAAAATTATTGAACACTGCAAAACTAAATCTAAAATTTTTATTTTAATATACAAAATATAAGTTGAATTCCAAAAATCACATTGTTTCAAGATAATAAATACTTTGCATTAGAAGTTAAAAACTATGAAGAATTTGCACAATAAACGAATGAAATATTCTAAAAATTGAAATCATTGAAGAATTTGCACAACAAATGAAGGTTAAAGAGAATTTTTATCAATATAGAATTTACTTGTAGTTAAGAAATATTCAAAATATTGTAACTACATAGTATAATTTGCTTTATTAAATTCAGTACTAATTTTTTATGCTTTATATCTTTGAAATACAGTATTATTACTTAGTTCAAAAATTGATGGATCATTAATACTTAATTAAATTACTTATATTACTATGTATTAGTTTTATTATCTAGCTGAACTTTTAGTAATTCATATATGTTTTATTCTTTAAAGATCAAATTATATTTTAATGAATTGAATAAAACTTAATTGAAAAACTTATTATTTTCTGTAACAAAATGATGTCTTATAGTACAGAATAAAAATAATAATAGAAATAATTTGTTATAATTTTAAAAAAATCATATACTTTACATGTCTGGCAAGAATTAATAATAAATAAATAAATATGTAAAAATTTTTGCTAAGATTAATAGCCTATTCAATATTTTC